TACTCAATAGGTACCTCATAGCTGTATTTGTTACTGTAAATGTACCTAGTTACTCTTTCAGAGCTGCACCTTTTGAAACAGGTTTGTACAAAATGCACTGTATTGTGGCTCCTCCGTGACTTAGGGGTTTAGACGGCGATTATGGACCGCCATGTCCCCGGTTTGAATATGGCTGGGGACCTTTGTGGCATCTCTCTCACTACCAATTTCCTCCTCTCCACTATCACAATCTAAAAAAGGCATGCCATTTTTAAAATGTACTGTGCGCTGTACAGAATACATTTCTTATCAGCAGCACAGAAGAGTGTTGGTGTTTGGAGAGTCTGAAAATGTCTTACAAATAGAAGTAAGAGTTGTCAAACTACCTGCTGGATTTCTCAGATTTTGCTTTAAATTTGTGTTTGAGGAAAACCGCTTGTATGTGTGACTCAAATGTCATCAATGCAAAAGCCCTAAAGCTGCAAACATCCTCTTCCAGACGTGCCAGGATGACATCCCTGCACCCTCAACACATCAGATCGCAAGTATTGGTAAGTGACACAAACCACAAAAAAGGAGCGAACTTCAGCCATGTCTCACTGCTCAGCACAAAAACCCCCAAATGAGCAGACAGAGGCTCAGAGGCCTACTTTATACCTGGTATTACATGTACCTTACATCCATATTACACGTGACAGGATTACATTCACAGGTAGGAAACATCTTCCGTATACATCCTGGAATCTGATTTCAGTATGTATACAGGACCTTCCTCCAGATAGCTTTGAGCCCAACAGTAAATACCCCAGCTGGTTTGTACCCCATCCATCCTGACAATCCAGTTTTTTGCAAGTATCTATTTGCATCGCTGTATTTGAGCATCCCAAGTCTTCTGTTTGCTTTGCGTTGGCTTCCTGGCGGGCCAGCACACAAAGGTTTATTTCTGTCTATATGGAGACTTCTAGCATTTACACATCGTTGTTATTGCAGTGAAATGCAAGTCTGACCTCTGTATGATTACACTTTATGCATATTTACAAGATCCAATCAGATTGACCAGAATGGAGTAGTAAACAATAACGCATCAGGGTGAGTATACAGCACAGTGCTGCACATACACATGCAGTAACTGTAGTTGATAGCTTTTTGTATCCATAGCACAGTCAGGGAAACTGTCTGGTACTTAGGGATGCCATCAAAGGTTTGGTCAGATCTGTCTCATTGTTTCATGAATTAGAAATTCAAATCAAAACAGTTTTATTTAAGTTCTTGTGTGGCACTGCCGCAGCTCAGGCATTATATCGCCAATATTGTCTAAAACTTGATACATGATATCAAGCGATTCCAGTCTTAACAAAAACTAAGTCAAGGCTTTATTGTGAATATCAGCAGAGAAAGCAGCATTCGCCCTCCCAGGCATATAAAACCCATCCCAGAGACAGCGCTACAACACAAACTAGTACCTGTAAGACTTCCTCTAATGCTTCCATTCTATACTAAATACGGTGTAATTACAAGGCTAACACTGCGCGTATCCTCCATCATCATTAAATTAGGGGGTTTGTGAAGATGAGAAATTGGCTGGGTTGAGCTTGGAGCCAGAAGAATCCTCGTGGTAATTTACAGGACTCTAAATGGGAGGCCAACTCCTCTTTCATTTGTCTCTTGTACTGGAGCTAAATACATATTTGTGGCTGGGATGGCCTCACAAGTGAGCCTAAAGTTAGCTGAAAGAGACACAGAGAGAGAGTGTAATGTAAATCTAAATAAAAATAAGCTTCTGTTTAATAGAATCATTGTGCAGTCCTCCTCTCACATTCTTGTGAGTGAAAATTATCCATGGATGTTTATGGGTTTCTGGATTGTTGGCAATGTAAGAACTGCAGCTCGGTCTGCTGCTGCTTCCTGCGGCTCGTAATCAGTAAAATGTGTTAATATCTCAGTTTGGAACAAAATTCTTACTCTCATATTTCTTTGCATTTGAGACTTGCATATCCAAGGATTGAAACAACACCTACTCTGACAACATGATGGCCCTGATAGTTAAGACATTTAAGGCTATATGGGTTACTTTAAAAGATAGCAGCATTTACTCTAACTTTTAAGCATTTCAAAACTAAACCCTTCAACATTTAAGTCACTGTAATGTGAAAAACTACGAACCTTAAAATTTGGAGATTTTTAATGGTTTTAAATGCTGTAAAACTTACACTAAAATGTGCTTGATAATCACACATCACAGACCAAAAAAGGGTCTTGAGAAGTAAAGATTTCTTAGATGTTTTGCCAATATTGTCAAATTACACACATGTATCAGACTAGCTGTAAAGAGCAGAGTCCAAATGTGGCAAAGGACTGCGATGCGGGTGGTTGGTGGTTCAAATCCAAAGACTTACAGGACACAAACCGGCCAACAATCAAGGAAAGAAAAGCCAACAATCTCTAGTGGAGCTGCTCTGTAGCAGCCACCAGTAGATCATTGCATCTATAATGGGAAGTTCCTGGGTTACTGGCAAATTTCCCTTAACTCATTAAAGGTTAAAAATTAACAAAGTATTTGAAGTCATACTGTAAAGCAGTCGCACCTCTAAGATGATTCAGAAAGGAGTCAGAACAGGTGCATTTCCTTCCCTCTCACTGTCACCCCCTCTGCAGAATGCATGTAATATGAGGATGGTAAATTCCTACAGTCAAAGGCAGGGACTCTGATTTACATGCCAGTAAGATGACTAGGCTGCCCGATAGACTCCAGAGCCCGATACTGAGTCAACACTAACTGTAACAAGTCTCTGCAATGACAGCAAGGGAAACAAATGCTCATCACTGAATGTTTGAGGGGTCAAAACCAGTGATTATGAGGGTCCTGCCACTTTGTTGGAGGAGTGTTAACAACTGTGTCCAGTCTTTGTAATCCACACTCTCCGACAGAAATTAAATACACATTTTGGTGAGGTAGTAGGTAATAAAACAGGCTCCAGGTCCTCGTATCCCTACAGCTGCTCCTTCTTCCATCTGCCGGTTATGACACCAGTTTGCGCCCCCTACTCTCAAACCGCTCGGAGCATTTTGACTGAATAAACTGGTTCAGAACCCAAAGTTTGTTCCCAGCTGGAACCAAAAAATAGGTTTTCCTATGGTTGTGGGTGTTATATACTACAAGTTGCTGTGTATCCTTGATTACAATGGCTCAACTCAAAAAGGTCAGAAACGCAGGCTGGTTTCCGACACAGTATGGTTCCAAGAACTTTGAACTGAACTGGTTCAAGAACTACAGCTTATTTGGGGGTAAAAACACTAGAGTACAGGTTAAAACTGAGAATCTAAGATGAAACATTAGTGTGGGATCAAAGGATCCAATATTATTGTAGGTGCTAGTGCAGGTGTTAATACAGGTTGAAGCATAAAATCATTTGTCAGATTGGTGTCAAGTTGGAGGCAAAAGATTTGAAATACAGTCAAAATCCAACAGAACTCAACTTTAAACTGGCTACTGAGCATCCTCGCTGGAGCAGTTTGTACACAACTTCTGACTGAGTGGGATACGGTCCAAGTAATCCCGGAAGGAAAGAAGATGTGTTCCACCACCACGAAGCGACTTCTGAGCAAACCTATGGGTGTGTTACAACCAGAGGGCGGCCATGTTTACGCGCCTGGTCCTTTGAACGTGTTTAAGTGGGTGAGGTCAAGTGAGTGTAAATGAATTAGTAGGCTACTGTTTTCCTTCACATGTGTGCAGCAGATACTCCCACCAGCATGAAAAATAAAGCTTGTGCAGAACTGGAACTTCCTTGATGAAAAAAATAGCACCGTAGAGATTTGAGGTGTGTCTGTGCTGCCGGACAGTAACTTTATAATGATTCTATTGTGCTTGATGGAAGGTTTATCTACGATATCAGCATTTATCATTTATCTATATAGTTTTATCTAAATAGTTATATGAAGGGATTTTATATCATATATGGGGTTGTGTCATTTTGTACTGATTAATCAGGCAAAAGAATTAAAGTGCAGTAAGTAACTTTTATAAAAATAATTTTTTTCATATTTTATTATTTATTTATGTCCTTATTTTTTCACAGTGTGCTGGCAGTAGTACATGAGACAAATAATCTGTGGAAAAAAACGGATCCCCTGGCTTTTTCCAACGCTCCAAATGGAATTTGTAAGAATCCACTGGGCCTAAACGAAAGCAACCAATCAGAGGCAAGAAAGATAGAGAAGCTTGATCATAGTTGATTGGTGAGTCTCATTCCCGGGGCCCCAAAGCGTCTGCATTTCACACTGTGAGAATAAGACTCAACAATCAACTATCTTCAAGCTTCCAACCCAAAGGGTTCGTATCTT